GGAGTGGGGCACCCTCCCTGTGGTGAGAGCAGGGCTGAGTGTTCTAGTATAGCACAGCTCTACTGGCTCTCAGAGGAGGGTGCATGGAGACAGGCGAAGGTGCCAGGAAGTGTAGGTCACCTGCATGTGGACATGGATGCCGGAAATAGAAATGTCCCCATGGGTCCCTGTACGGCATGTCCTGTGTTGGTCTTGATGGCTTGGCCACTGGAGCAGTGTCTAGAGTCACTCCTAATCCAGCTTCCCCCACACTCATATTTGTTGTTTTTAGAAAGTCAAGGCAGAAAGGGACCAGGTTTGCTGGTTTGATAGAGACTGATGGACCACTGAGACTATGGCCCCTAGCTGCCTTCAGGTCTGGAATTGAACCCACTCTTGTGGCTTCTAGCCAAACAAAAGACAGACATATGAGTTGAACATTTACATTAGGTAGATACACTCCTTGGAGAGAACAATCATGGGAGAATAGAAGGGCTGTTTATGCACAGGGAGACAGCTCAGGAGGCAGGAGTGCATGGAGGGAAGGACACAGGGAAGAGGTAACTATGGGGAGGAAGTGGGAGGGGAGCTGTTGCACTGTGATAAACTATAGTCAATGTCATGAGACAAAGTGTATGTGAGCTACTGTATGGAAAGTGAATTTGCTCTGTAAATTTTCACCCAAATCACAATTAAAAAAAAGAAAACCAAGGCTGGTGGCCATCGGAGCCCTAGGTGGTGGTTACCTTTGGTATATTGAGATGCTGGGGTTGGTCAGCTTCCTCCGTTACCCCTGCAGGTGCCAGTGAACAAGAAGGCCACCTAGCTATTTGGGAAGGAGCCTTAGGGAAGGTGCCTTGGTTTCTTGTGCAGGCTTTCCTCTCACTGCCCCTGCTGCACTTGGGCTCTCAGCTAAAGGTGCTCTCTCACTGCAGGGTAACAAACACTTCATAAGCAGAAGTTAAAACTCCAGTGAACTGCATTGATACTCTTAATGTGGTCTTTTAGGAACATTTTCTCAGCTCCTCTTTTTAAACTGTTTTGTTACAGATGAAATTGTGGCTCTGAAACGACTGAAGATGGAAAAGGAAAAGGAGGGCTTTCCTATCACATCACTAAGAGAGATCAACACCATCCTCAAGGCCCAGCACCCCAACATCGTCACTGTCAGAGTAAGGCTGTACCCACTCCATCCGCACCCACCCTGCTTGGGCCTGATACCCTGTCCCCTGGGATAGATGGGCTCTTCCCCAGTGTGTGTTCACCCCCACTGTCTCCTAGGAGATCGTCGTGGGCAGCAACATGGATAAGATCTACATTGTGATGAACTATGTGGAACATGACCTCAAGAGCCTCATGGAGACCATGAAGCAGCCCTTTCTGCCAGGTAATGCCAAGGCCACCTTGGGCTACTCTGGGGATAAGCTGGTACAGCCACAGCCATCGGGGAGTTGGGGGGGGCGGGACAGGGGCAAGGGGATGGTGGGTGGGGCTGCAGTGGCATAGAGACAGGAATTTTGTTGTGAGGGCATCAGTACAACTTCAGGTGTCAACACAGTCCCTCATGGGTATTGCCAGCAGCAAGTGGGAGCCCTGGGTCTTCAAGTGGAAGCACTCGCCATCCTTAAACTCTGACACCAGGGAGAGCCCTGGCCTTCCAGGTGCCTAAAGCATTCTCTCACACTCCGGGGATGCCCCAGGGACCAGTCCCTCATAGCACAGCTCTCCTGTGCCATATCACAGCAGAGGGGGTGATGGTGTGTGATCCATCTGTCCCACCAGGGGAGGTGAAGACCCTGATGATCCAGCTGCTGCGGGGAGTGAGGCATCTCCATGACAACTGGATCCTGCACCGTGACCTCAAGACGTCCAACCTGTTGCTGAGCCACGCTGGCGTCCTCAAGGTGGACCCATCTCACCCCGTCCACACTCACACCCCCTGCACTACCACCCCCTGCTGCCTTCACCTCCATGCCTCCCACCCACCCCCACCATTGCCCTCATCCATCACCTCTGCCACCCTCCCACCCTCTGCCAGCCACACTGCCACAGGACTTGTCACACTAGTCCTTCCCTCTGCCTTTCTAGGTGGGTGACTTTGGGCTGGCACGTGAGTATGGGTCCCCACTAAAGGCCTACACCCCAGTTGTAGTGACCCTGTGGTATCGTGCCCCAGAGCTCCTGCTTGGTGCCAAGGTGAGTGTGTGCAGGTATCTGGTGGGGGGAACACAGCCTGCAGGACTCCATGAGCCTGCAGAGCTATCTGCCTGCTTGCTCTTGACACAGCTAAGCCAGGTACCTGGTCTTGCAGGAGTACTCCACAGCCATTGACATGTGGTCTGTGGGTTGCATCTTCGGGGAGCTGTTGACTCAGAAGCCCCTGTTTCCTGGGAAGTCAGAGATTGACCAGATCAACAAAGTGTTTAAGGTATGGGGGCCACGTGCTGGGCCTGGACGAGCATGGCAGTCACTCTGGTGATTGCTCAGTGGGCCAGTCTCTGATGATCAGACTGGGAGTCAGCTGCCAGGTGATAGACCCTTCCCTGTGGTGGGGCCAGGCTATTCTGATGTGTCCCTTCCTTCCTAGGACCTGGGGACCCCCAGTGAGAAAATCTGGCCTGGTTACAGTGACCTGCCTGCAGTCAAGAAGATGACGTTCACTGAGTACCCCTACAACAACCTCCGCAAGCGCTTTGGTGCACTGCTCTCAGACCAGGGCTTTGACCTCATGAATAAGTAAGTGTTCCCACCAGTGGGGGCCATCTGCCTCATTGCTGTAGCTGCAGAGCCCAGTGCTGGCCCAGGCCTTCCTATGTCACCACCTTCTAGAACTGCCTCTCTCCCAGCTCACACTGCCCTTGGCAGCCTGGGCCTTTTGCTCATCCTGCCCCCTTCGTCCCCCCTACCCCACCTTGAAGCTCTGCTGCCCCACTGCATTCTAGACCCCAGGTACCCTGTTCCTCCCAGGTTTCTGACCTACTTCCCTGGGCGGAGGATCAACGCTGAAGATGGCCTCAAGCATGAGTATTTCCGTGAGACCCCGCTTCCCATTGACCCCTCCATGTTCCCCACGTGGCCTGCCAAGAGCGAGCAGCAGCGGGTGAAGCGTGGCACCAGCCCACGGCCGCCCGAGGGGGGCCTGGGCTACAGCCAGCTGGTGAGGGGCAGGGCTTGGCAGGAGGGAGGGCTCCTCGAAGGCTGGGCTGACTTCAGGGGAATTTTTATAGGGAGGGATCTGTTGGAGGGAGGGTCCTCATAGGGAGGGTGCCAGGAGAAGGTAGGAGAGGGATCCTCATGGGTGGGATCAGCTGGGGGCCAGGTCCTCAGGGTACACTGATTTGCCCCCAGGGTGATGATGACCTCAAGGAGACTGGCTTCCATCTGACCACCACCAACCAGGGAGCCTCAGCTGCTGGTCCTGGCTTCAGCCTAAAGTTTTGACCTCAGAGCAGGATGCAGCACACTCCCCAAGGGTGGGGCCTGGCCACACAGGGCCAGGGACACAAGGCTCTGGTTGGCAACAGGAGTGGCTAAATAGTGTCTTCGTCTAGACTGTGATCCAGAACCCAAGCTGCAGGGACCGCGGGGGCCGAGAAGCCCAGACTCAGAGCTCCTTGTCATGTTCTTACTTCATTTTCCATGTTTTTATTTCATTTTGGTTTGTAAATTTGTAGAATTAAATCATATTTTCCTTGTTGTAGAGGGAAAGACTGTATTTTTTCAGATGGATCAGACTTGCCCTTGGGGTGTCCAGCATGGAGAGGTGGGGTGTCAAGGGACCAGAACGTAAGGCACCTCCTCCCCTACACATACGCACACGTGCACACACGCTTGCATGTTTACACACGCACACACAAGGAGACAGCCAAGCTGAGCAATGACCAGCCAGTTGGACAATGATAATTTGGGGCCAGGAGTGTGTTTTTTGTTTCAGTCTTGCAGGATTCATCTCCTGGCCTGCAGACTTTCTTTGTCACATCTGGAGTGCTTTGCTCCTTCCTCCTGTGGTTGCTCAACTCAGTGACCCAGGCTCGTGGGCTGGATTCCCTCCAGCATTGTCCACGTGGCCCCGGCTCCATTACGCTACTGTGTTTGCTATCCTCGAACAGGAGGGTTTTTTTTTTTTTTTTTTAAATAGTTTGTTAAGAGTTTTTAAATGTAGTAAACTATTCTTGAAAAAGCTCTAGCATGTTCTCCTTCCAGCAGCTGGGTCTCATGAGCATGGTTCCTTTGTGCTGGGACATGTGTAGACACAGGATAGCTCTAAGTGCTGGTGTCTCTGACCTTATTTCTGGTGCCACTTCCCCCAGCCACCTCAGGCCAGCACTGTGCCCAAGTGGAGGAAAAGGCCCAGAAGTCATTTTGTCAGGAGCTAGATACAAGAGCTGGTACCCAGCCAGGGGAGACACTGTGAAAGATGTAGCCTGGGGGCGAGGGCAGTAGGGCTGCCCATGACTCCTGGCCTGTGGCACCTGGTCTGGTTGGAAGAGTACCAGTTGCTGGCAGCCGAGGGGGCCAGGGGCCGCATACCTCTGTCTAAGCTAGTCATCACCCAGCCAGGCAAACAGTCCCTCAGTGCTGAGTTCTCCCACTCCTGCTGACGTCCTCACCCTGGCCTCACCCTCTCACTCTCCATCAGGAAAGGCTTTGGAGGCCCAGCTGCTTCCTGCAGGAAACCTTCCTTGCCTTATCCACCTCTAGGCAAACCCTGGATGACTCCAGGCTCTGACCCGGGTCAGCCTGCCTGCCCCTCACCAGTGATACAGGCTCTTGGCCCTCAGATGACCCCACTGTGTAAGGAGAAGCCCAATTGGGAAGGCCCTTTGCCTGCCTTTGCAGGACACATCCTGACCCCAAAGGAGCTGTGAGGAGAATGAAGCCTGTATTGGCCTCTAGGACTCCCCACCAAGACTGCAGCCCAGGCCCAGAACACCTTCCCCCCAAGAACAAGCAGAAACAGACTAATAGAGAAAACGCTTTATCAGCCCCCCTTCCTGCGGGCCCCGGCTGCGAGAGGTACACTAGCTCCGAACGCGGACGCGCCAAGAGTAGGTAGTGAGCACGCGCTGGCGCCTGCGCACCACGCATGTGTAGGTGCCCTCATTGATGGCGTTGGCAATGATGCTCAGGTGTGCTTCACCCAGTGCCAGGTAGCCAGGGTAGGAGAACTCCAGGGGCTCCTGGTCCTTGTACCAGCTGTGGGGGGTGGGGTGGGGGGCTGGCTACACTAGGCTGCCCGCCCACTGCGGTTCCGCCTGGTAACCCCCACCCAGTGCCCCTACCTGCCCTCCCTCCAAGGCCCTGCCGTTCCCAACCTCTAGGCCTGCCCCTGCACTCACTACACTTTGCCCTTCTTGTGCAGGATCTTCTGACCACAGCGGAAGGTCATGTTCCTGCCTTCAGGCACTAGCTTGGTCTTGGTCCTGGGGGGTGGTGGGGTGGCAGCCACTGTGGGGAAGGGGAACTCTGCTCCGAGGAAGGGAAGAGTACCATGTCAGTGCCCCCATCTCCCCATACAGGGCACAAACGAACCTCCCCCACCCCTCCACCCTGATGTCACCATAGCAAAAGTCACAACTGCTGGGGCAGAGTCGCTTCATGAGCCTCTGTCGGGCATCGCAGAAGCCCCTCCGTGCCCAGGACGCACACACGAAGAGCCGATCCAGGCAGCCTGCAGTGGGTGGCCCCAGCTCAGGACCTCATCCCCACCCCCACTTGGGCTTGCATCCCGCCCACCCAAGCTTCCTGCCCCCAGTCCCCATTTTCACTGGCACCCCTCCGTCCTCACCCACAACGCTGTCCCCCAGCCCCATTCCCAGGCACCCCTTTTCCTGTCCCTCACCATAGAGCCGGTGCAGCCCCCACATCTCATCCTGGGACAGCGCCTTCCAGCCTCGCAGAGTAGCGTTGAGGTGCATCAGGGCCCGGCCATGCTGCGAGTGCATCAGGCCCAGCGCGTGGCCAATCTCGTGGGCTGCCACGTGCACCAGGTCTGTGAGCCACACGCCTGCAGGCCCAGGGGTCAGGGCTGTGAAGACCCCGGCCTGGGGCCTCCACCCTGCTGGCTGTGCCACGTGGAGCCACCATGGCCTCGGAAGATAACAGCATCCCGGGACAGGAGATGACTCGGGCTCCAGGAATGCAGCTCGGGGCCCTCAGCAGCCACACGAGTGGGGGGTGGTTGGAGGGGCTGGAACCTCAAGCCCTCGCCCTTCCCCCCATGCCTCCCTACCCAGTTAGTTTGACCCCAAATCGCCTCCCCCACCAAAAGTCCTGCTGGTGCCCAGCATCAGGGAGGGGTGACCTAGGAGGGGACAGCACAGGTCACCTTTCTTCCAGCTGTATCGCGTGGGGCCCAGCACCCAGTACTCGCTGTCATCGAAGTGGATGCCACCGTGAGGGGGAAAGAAGGCGTGGGCCAGCTCTCCCGTGGGGCCATCGAAGCAGTGGTGCAGGGCCGAAGACAGGCAATCCGTGTGGTTGACTGGGTAGAAGCCTGGGGGGAGCATGGGGCTGAGCAGACCGCGGACGGGGCTGGGTCAGGGCAGGGCAGGCGCCCACCTATGCGGAGGTCGCTGGGCTGCTCAGGAGCCACTTCTCGGAAGCTGAAGGGAGACACTTCACTCCACATGCGGAAGGCTGCAGCCAGGCCCCGGCGGGTTTCACTGCGACTCAGCAGGTTCCGTGGGAAGGAGAGGATCCTGGAGCAAGGGGTAGAGGTGGGAGAGGCAGAGAACAAGGTTGGAGCAGTAGGAAGGAGAGGATCCTGAGGGGCGTCAAGGTCAGGGGCAATGGGAAGGAGGAGATCCTGGAGGGGAGTCAGGGGTGGTAGGAAGGTGAGGATCCTGAGACCTGAGAGGACCTTCAAGTCAGGGGCAGTGCAGCTAGGTGAGGGCCGCCCCCAGGCCCAGGGTCCACACCTGTATGTGAGGTTGAAGTGGTCCCAGCGCAGCCTGGCAGGGGTCAATGTGTACCGGCGTCGGCGGGGTCCCTGAGGGAGTGGTGGGCCAGGGACGGTGCTGGCAGGGACAGCCACCAGCTCAGACACTTCCACATCTCCCTTCAAGAGAAGCAAAAGGCATGGGAAGGCAGCAAGAAGGGTCCCCAACCCCGAGGCTGAGGGAAGAGGCTAGAGGAGGGGGTGGGGGCTGCAGGTGCTGACTGTTCCCTTTTAGGTCTTTCGGCTTTTGCCCCTTTCTGCTTATTTTATACGAAGAAGAAAACGGTTACTGAAAACTGGCAAGAACTGAGTGGGCGGGGCTGGAGCCAGATGTGCCGTCTTCCCCCCCCCAACCCAGCGGCTGGACCCACGGACGCACGTACCCACGGATGCCCCCGACACCAAGACACACCCTCCTGAACCCCTGTTCCCAGCCCCGCCCAGCCGCCCTCTCTCACCTGCGCCGCGGGGATCCCCCACCGGGCCAGCAGCACTAGCGCGGGGAGCAGGCACAGGGCGCCCAGGACAGCTCCGAGCCGGAGGCCCTGTCCTGGAACCCCTGACGCCTCCGTGGGGGCGCAGGCCCCGCGGCCCATGGCGCTGCGGACTCGGTGTCAGGCGCGTGGGGCTGCTAGGCGAGGGGGGCGGGGCGGATCGGGTTACAGGACCCGCCGGGAGGGGCAGGGGGGCGGCCGCCCAGAAGGGAACCAGCTGGCCGACAGCGGTCGGAGCGCCCTGCCGCTGCAGCTTGGGCCGCGGAGACCCGCGTCCTGTCAGTCAGTGGCAGTGGCCTGGGCAAGGGCTGCCGGGCGGGGCCACTTGGAGCGGTCCGTGGAGGACGACCCCCAGAGAGTGGAGGTCTCTGGAGGCCAGGGAAGGAACGTACGCCTGGGGCTCAGGCTAGGTGACGGGTCGTCAATGGGGTCTCCTCACCAGCTGGAGGCTGAATGACCCAAGAACTTTTTCTCCAAATGGAGCCCCCCACCCCAGACATCGGATAAGGCCTGAGAGTCGAGCCTCCGTCCTGGACCAGGCGGCTCAGTGGGGCCAGCCCAGGACACGTCCCTACGAGAGCCGAGGGGAGGGGAGGGGACGCGACGACTGAGTGTGGGGCGGCTGACGAGGCGGAGAGGGGGGGCAGACGTGGGGACGTGGCGTTAGGAAGGAGCCTGTAGAGGGGACAAAACTGCGGGATAGGGGCACAGGGGCCTGGGGGCGCCAGGAAGAGGCCAATAGAAGGGCGGATCTGGGAGGGCAGGACCCCCAGGTAGGTGTGAGGGGTAACGGGTTGTGTGGAGAAGGGTGGAAGCCCGAGTCCCCGCTTGGCGCCCTCTGAGCAGAAGGGGAAGGGGTCCACCAAGAGAGAGAAACGGGAAACCGAGCTCAGCGCGGGTCGTAGAGGGTCTGGAACAGTCCAGGTTGAGAGGGGAAGAAGAGTGGGTGCACTGAGCCCCAGAAATACGACGGGGCGGCGGGCCGAGCAGGCGGGGGTTGGCTGGGCGCCTCTGGGCGGGGAGAGGGATCAGGGCTGGCAATGGCCCTTGAGGGCAGGGCAGACTGGGAGAAGGGGCGCCAGTCCCCTCCCCTCGCTCCATCCCGGTTTAGCCAGGGTGACAGCCTGGTCTGGCCGGAGGGGTCAGCGCCAAATAGCTGGCAGGAGGCCGCACGAGGCGGGTGTTCTTGGAAAGCGCCGGCTTCAGCCCAAGGCAGCGCTCCACTCCGTGGCTAAATATTTACTCCAACAAGCTACCCCCCTACCCCCACCCCCGCGTGTCCCATCCCCTCGCCAGGTCCGTGTCCCATCCCCCTGGTCACATGATTTCTGGGCCTGAGATTAGGCTGGCCGCCATCCCCCCATTCCCTGCTCAGCCTGGACCCCTGGTCCCCGCGGAGACGCGGCCTGCACCCAGAGAGACGGAAGAGAAAGTGCCTGGGAGCTGGCAGGGGTACTGCTGGAAGACTCAGTCTTCAAGCTGGGCTGACATCGGGTCCCGGCCTCTCGAATGGGGAGGGGTGGCCCGAGGGCGGTGTGAGCGGGCCCACTCAGCGCGCAGCTGGAGCACAGACAGCGCGGTTCCGGTCCGGTCCCTGGCTCTGCCCAACCAAGGCGAGGAAGAGGAGGGAAGACAAGGGGCAGCCTGTGCCGAACCAGGAAAGCGGTTTCTGGCCTGGAAGCAGGGGCTGGAAAAGCTGTGGCAGCACGGCACATAGGGCTGGCGGCCAGGAGTGGGGGCATTTGGCTGGAGCCCGGCCAGATATGGAGAAGGGCTGGGTGGGGACAGGGGGGTGTGGGGTGGGCACAGGGGGCGATCAAGAGCGTGGGGACTGACGCACGCAGACAGGCAGAGGCAGCAAAGTGCATGGATCTTTTTATAAAACATGGGGCGGGGGTGCCGGGCTCAGCCGGCTCACACGAAGATCTGGATGCGGTCGCGCACCGGCTGGCGGCAGATGGGGCAGGCGCTGAGAGCCGCGCCGCAGGGCGCGCACGCGCCGTGGCCGCACTGGAACACGAGGCGGATGTGGCTGTCGATGCAGATGGGACAGGTGATACGCTCCTCCATTTGCCTGTAACGACTCTGCAGCTCCTCCACCAGCTGTCGTGGTGGGCCAGGCACAAGCGGAGCGCTTGACACCTCCGTACCGTCTGCAGGAAGTGGGAGTGGGGATAGGGGTGAGCCTCGCTGGGGCGGGGATACGACAAGCAGTGGACTACAGGTGCACAGGAAGCGGGCCGTGGCCAGGCGGGGCGCTCGCCCCATATGTTTGCTGTGAGCGGAGGGTCTGCTGAGGCCCGCCGCACTCACCTGGACGCAGTTTCTTGCTGATGGCCACCTGGCACCTGATGCACTTCTTCATGCGGCGAGCGCACTCTGCGGAGGTGAGGGGAGGAGGGCGCGTTGAAAGGGGACTCATCTTTCCTCTGCCGCCTTCCCCCGCCCAGCCCACAGCTACTCACCCTCGCACACAGTGCGGTGCTGGCACGGTGAGAAGAGTACTAGCAGCGCCAGCTCGGAGCACACTAGGCATTCGGCAGCCTCAGGCCCCGATGCTGTTGCTGCCGCCACGTGCAGATTGGTCACCGTGTTGGGGGTGCTAAGCACATGCCGAGCACTTGCTGCGCCCCCACCTCCACAGCTCTCTGCCGCCTGCCGCTCCCTGAATTGGAAGAACAGGGGCTTTAAAGTGCCTGGCCGGCTTGTGGACCCCATACCCACCTGGCGCAAGCTCACCGGAAGCGCTGGGCGCAGCCCTGCAGGGCCTTGAGCACGTGGCCCTCAGCGGCCAGGTCCAGCGGGCTTCGGCCACGGTGGTTGGCATAGCTCACATCAGCGCCCTCCAGCGCCAGGAAGCAAGCGATGGCCGTGCCCACTGTCAGCTCCATGCTGCCTGGGAGGCCCGAGGCCTGCAGCTGGGCATGGAGATGGACTTGATGAGCCCTGGGCACTAGAGTAACCTCTGAACAGTTTGGTGGCACCAGCCCCACCTCCCTCTGTCTCCAGCCACCTAGCAATAGAGGTATGCTCCCTGGGCATCTCCTTCCTGTCTGAGGCCCCCCGCAATAGGCAGGAAACGCTCCCTTGCTTTGTAGAAGGGGCTGGTGTTCTGAGGCCCCATCTCTACCCACTCCCTGCCACTGGACCCCACCCTCGCTCCTTCTCCAAGCTGGTCAGAAGCACTGGCCACGGCTGTGGTGGGAGGTGTCACACCCCAAGTCCTGGTTTCCTGGGCCTTCAATGAAAGTAGACAGTCACCCAGGCCCTGCCAGGAGCCAGTGGACACCTCTTCAGCCCAACCAGCCTCTACTTCCTCACCCTGGACAGCAGCTGCATGGGCCCTGGGTCCCCCCCGGCCCCGTCAGCCGCCAGGGGCAACAATTGGTGCCGCTGCAGTGCCACATGCAGGGCAGTGTCTCCATCCTCATCCTCAGCGTTGACACTGCAGCCGGCATCCACCAGCAGTGGCACCAGCCCCACATGGGCTTGCTGCACAGCCAGGTGCAGCGGAGACTGGAGCTTCCGGTTGCGCAGGTTCACATCACAGCGGCCCTACGACAGGGCAAGGGGACATGGGCTCAGCCCCCACAGGAGGGAAACTCCTCAGTCCCCAGTAGGCCTCAGCCCTGTGCCAGCACCTCTTGGACAAGGATCTGGGCCACGTCACGGTGGTTGTTGAGGGCAGCTAGGTGCAGTGCTGTGAAGCCATCCTCCTTCCTGGCATCCACCAGCTGCCGGGCCCGTGCCAAAATCTTCCGGACAGCTCTGCAGGAGTGGAGAGGTCTGGCCCGGCCCAAGGACTGTCTCGATAGCCTGGCCAGCTGCCCACCCGCCTGTTTCACTCACAGTGCATGGCCCTTGAGTGAGGCATGGTGTAGCAGTGTGAAGCCCTGGCTGTTGGTGGCGGTGACATCGATGCCTGGCACCTCGGTAAGGATCTCAACGATGCCGCTGGCGCCAGCGCCCGCTGAGATGGCACAGTGCAGGGGTGTGTCAGCATGGGCATCCTATCAGGGGATGGGCTGGGGTCACTCAGCTGGAAAACCACCCAGCCACCACCCTGACCCTTGGGACAGGGATAGAAGTCAGAGGAGTCAACACTCACGGGCAAATTGACATCGCAACCACGTTCGCACAGCACACGCACCACCTCCAGGAAGCCCCTCTGCACTGCCACGTGCAGGGCCGCGCTCCGAGAGCTGTTGAGGGCATCAACATTGCAGCCTGCGCTCAGAAGCACCCTGGCAACCTCTGGCTGGTTCCTATGGGGAGGAAGCAAGAAGGGCACTGTGCCAGCAGGCTGGACCTTCCCCATATGCCCTCATACCACACCTCAAACAGGCCTCACCCCAGGGCTGCATAGTGTAGCGCCATGCTACCCTCGTCATCTGGCACGTCCACGCCTGCCTGTGCCTGCAGCAGCAGCCGCACCAGCTCCACCTGGCCCAGGTAGGAGGCCACCTGCAGGGCGGTCCTGCCCTGGCTCTTGGTATCCACCTGCGGTACAGCCAGCAGATCAGCCCAGGGCCCTCAGCACCCTATCCTTTGGACTAGCGGGGTGTGTGTGTATGTGGGGGGGTGGGGGAGGGGGTCCTGAGGCCTCGCCTGCTCTGGGTGCCGCCGCAGCAGGTCCAGCGCCCGGGCTGCGTTGCCCAGTGCCACCTCTACCACAAGTCTCCCTGGGTGCTCTGGGTCACCCTTCTGGGCCCGCAGCTTATCCAGGGCAACGCTCAGGGAACCTAGAAGTAGGGTGGAGGTCAGGGGGTCAGAGGGTCAGTGCAACCCCAGACCCCCAATGGCTACCCAGCCTTGCCCCTACTTTTGTTCTCTCGGGCACGCTCAGCCACATCCAGATTGGCATCTTCCTCAGGTCGGTAGGCCACCAAGCAGGAGGGGCTGAAGGTCCACAACTGGCCGCCAACCGCCACACGCAGGTTCCCGTCCCCAAACACCTTCACCACCTTCCCAACGCGGCCCAGGGCCTACAGGGGCAGAGGGTTGGGTCACAAACAAGTCTCTGGGGCGGGAGAGTAGGAGGACAGGTGGGGTGGGCACTCACGGGGGCCATGTCATCTGTCCACTCGCCGTGCCCGGCCTGCAACCGCTTCACCGTGTCAAGATCATCGATGACCCGGACCACATCGCCCACCCAGAAGGAGTTGTGCTGAGTGACAGAGTGGCATGTGAGGTACCCCCCAACTTGGGGTTCAGGCTGGACAAAAGCCAAGAGAACCAGGGCAGCCCTGGAGGCCCTCCCAGAGCATGGGGGTGATAGGCAAGAGCCAGCCAACTTGCGGAGGAGGGTACGGGTAAAAGGGGCCTCACCTCTAGGGACAGAATGGCCTGGGGGTGAGCCCAGAGCCTCTGGCCAGGCCTGCTCCTCCTCCAGCACCTTTCCTGCCAACAGCCCCCAAACTTGCTTCTCCCGAGACCCCACCCATGTCCCTGACTACGGGTCTACAGCTGAGCTTTCTTCACCCCTCCCAGGTCCCTACCTGTGGTGCCCCTCCTCCCCCTCCTGCCATCTAGCTTCCTGAACAGCTCTCACGCATGCCCCTCTCTCTGCTCTGTCTCTGTGCCCTGGGCCAAGTGTTCACCTCCTTACCCTCCTAATAGGCCTCCCCACAGCTGCTCCACCACTCCCATCTGCTCCCCATGCTGCACTCAGAGGGCCCATTTAGAAAGCTGACCTAGCTGTGCCGCTTCCCCCATCCAACACTGCACTGGCTTCAGGCCAAGGGACTTCAGGATAAGAATCCCCCTTACCCCCGCTGGACCACTCAAGCCTCCCAGTATCCTCAGCACCTGGGTTCCCCTCAACGTGCAGCTTCTTCTTGCCTCCTCATAGACCTGACTCCCCGCCCCCATCCTCAGACCCGGGGTCTTGGTGGCAAACCTTGATGAGCGCCCCGGGGTGGAAGGTCCAGCGGGTCTCATTGCTGAACTGCACGCGCACATCCCCACGGTCCGTGATGCGGTGCACAGTGCCCGTCTGTCCGATAAACTGTAGTGCGTCACGGAGGCTGTGGCTGGGCTGAGCAGGACTCTTGGGGGAGGAGGGTGCTGGGGTCTAGAGGACATGGGAGGGAAGGGGCGCATAGGCACAGCAGATGGGCTGTGGCTTACCTCAGCCATCCTGGGGTTCCACCCGCCATGACCCTCCTGCATCTCTCTCAGCACATCTGTGTCCAGCAGGCACTTGACTTTGTCTCCATGCTGGAAGGGTGGGCCATCTGCACTCACCCTCCGCTGCAGCTCTGCTGGCTTACCTGTAGGTGGCAGCAGGAGGTCTCAGACAGTGCCCCCTCCCAACTGGGATGTCACATGCCAGCCCTCATCCCTGCTTTGCCCACAGATGCTGAGCTGAGGGAGGAGGGCAGCAGAGCAGGGTGTGCGTGGTATTAGGTGGGGCCAGCCTCATACCAAGCCGTGGGAGGTGCTCCTTGTAGTAGAAACCACCAGCTGCCTCGCCCACACACTTGAGGTCCACCTTGCCCTTGTGGCCTACACGGTATACGTTGGTGGTGCCATCAGCCCATGTCACACTGGCCACACTCCGGCCTGTTTCCACATCCCAGCCACGGATATCCACCACACGGCCTGCCTTCCCTTCCCCTCCTAGGGAGATGTGGGTCCTGTTGGTAGGCTAAGACTGCACCACAAGGCTGAGTCATAGCCTGCCACAGCCCTGCAACAGCCCACCTCACTTTCCACTTACCGTCTTGAGAGCCCCACTCCCAGTCAGGGCCCCGAACCACCTTTGCCCCCTGGAAGATGCCCCTCAGTGGGATCCTTGAGAGATTCTGCCGGGGACTCAGTGTGATGCTGCAAGAGAGGAGATCCTGAGGCATGCCAGGGCCAAGATGAGATGGGAAAGGCCATCCACTGTGCCCAGCCTTGCTCCTCCATGCCCAGCGCTCACTTGCACCCTGGCTGTGGCCCGGCTCCCAGGCCCAGCTCTTTCCCTGCACCAGCCTGGCAGGTCAGTGAGTTCTATACTCTAGGAAGAGGCTCTACGGGCCTTCAGAAACCCTGGGGGGCTCAGGGCCCTGGAGCAAGCCTGCCACCTGTGTTCCCCAAGCCACTTCCCTGATGCTAGGCTGAGGAAGTTCCCCAGGCCCTCCTCACTGCACAGTCTGTGTGTGTGCAGTTGTTCCCAGCCTGCTGTCTCCCTTCAAGGCTGTTCTCAGTGCTTGGCACAGGACCTGCTCAGAAAAGGGTTCAATTTCTGGAAAAGAAAGACACCCACAGACAGCAAGACTCTTTCTCCTGAGACTGCCCCCTCAAATTACATTCAGGATAAAGTCTCCCCTGCTCTGCCTTAGACATGGCTCCCAGCTTGGCCACGCTGCCTCGGCCTCCCTGCCAGCCTGTGGCCCCAGAGGATGTGGCTGCCTCTTCTGAAGTTGCTGCATGAATGCCCTCCCACGGCACAGGGCCGAGCTACCTCTTGGGGTGGTGCCAGATCATAGCTTCCACCTCTGTGGGCCTGTTCCACAGACGTGGCTGCCCTCTGCAGGGGGTGGTGGTGCTCAATGCCCATTTCTGAGTGACCATGGCCCTGCCACTGTTCACTGTCCCAGGAGATAGCTGTGTCTAAGCCCGAGGTGGGGTGGCAGCTCCAGGCCTGAGAGCTCACAGAGGCCAAGGCCTGGTCGGGTTTCAGCAGGTCCAAGGCCTTGGGTTCCACCCGGGTAGGACTGATGCTGGCAGGCTGCAGCCAGGTAAGTGGTGGTACTCACGGCCGTGAGTGGGCTGTCTCGTAGCGCTCGAAGGCATGGGTGAGGTCATGCTTGTTGTGCATGTAGCACTGTGTGCACAGGTCGTAGTCAAAGCACACTCGGCACTTCCAACGCATGCCCCGCAGCCCGTGCTTCTTGCAGCAATCACAGATGATGTTGGGATGACGAACACCTGGGGTGGAGCCAGGATGAGGTCAGGTGGGAAAGCCCTGCCTCTAGTGCCCTGCCTTCCTGGCAGCCCCCACAGACTTGGACGCACCGATCTGGGCGTTGTCATAGAGCAGTAAGTCGTGGGCGCCCTGGTAGCCAGCGCGGTAGTTGGTGCGGGTGCCATGGTCCCACTGCACGACGACTGTGCGGTCGGGGGTCGAGGGGCTGCCATGCCGGCCGAGCTCCACCACTGTGCCCACGCCGCCCTCACCACCATCCTGATGGCCCCACTTCCAGTCCATGCCACGCACCACGCGCATGCCCACCTGCACACCAGCCTGGGGGTCTGGGTCCATGGTGGGCAGGGGCTGCTGGGGGACCTACAGGCAGAGTACACACACCCTTCAGGCCATGCCAGGGAGACCCACCAGGCCACTCTGCCCACAGGCCTGGTGCTGCACCGCCTGGAATGGCCAGTTCCAATGTGTGTGCTGTCAGCCATTCAACGCACCTTCACTGAGTGCTACCGGTGGGCCTGGTGGGGGTGTCCAGGCCAGGGGCTGGAAGACAGTGCCACAGCCACCCCTGGCCCTCAGCCTGCAGCAGGACAGAAATTGGAACGTCACATGGGTTATCTGTACACTGCACCCTAGCAGGTCAGGACGGAAAAGGGAGATGGGCTTTTACCTGCTCATGGGCTCGAGGAGGGCTACCTAGGAAAGTGACTCAGACCAAGCATGGAGGACTAGACAAAGGGGGAGAAGGAGTAGCATTCCTGGGACAGGGACCTGCATGTGCAAATGCCCCATGGCAGGCAGAGCACGGTAAGCATGAGGACAAGAAGGTGCGGAGGTGGCATCTGTCAAGGAGAGCAAAGAGGTGGGGGAGGGAGAAGGGGCCTATAGTTTGGAAAGGCCCCTGCACTGTAGCTGCTTGGTGGGGACCCCCACAGCTGTCCTGGTGAGAGGGAACAGAGGTCTGGCCTGGCCTGCGGCCCAGGAGCTCTCTCAGCGAATGCCCACTGAATGCTGGCTGTGCTAGTAGACCTGGCTGGGCACGTAGCACACAGGGGCCCTCAGGGCAAATTAATAGACTTGGACTGCAGGTATAAATGTGAAAGGTAAGTCAATAAAGTTTGCAGATGGAAACAGACTATGCAGCCACTTGATAAGGGGACTGCATTAAAGTTAAGAACAACTGTTCCAATGTGGAACAAAACTCAAAACCATAAAAAAACCCCACCAAGTTTGCTGGTCTGATAGAGCCTGGTGAGACCCCTGAGACTATGGCGCCTAGTTACCCTTCAGGTCTGGAACTGAACTCACTCCGATGGCTTCCAGACAAACAACAGACAGGCATATGGCATGAACATTTATTTATATGAGGTAGATACACTCCTTGGAGTGATCAATCATGAGAGAACAGAAGGACAGTGTTTGCACAGGAGATAGCTGGGGGTGGAGGCACAGAAGGGAAGGACACAGGGAAGAGGTAACTACGGGGAGGAAGCGGGAAGAGAGCTGTTGCATTGTGGGGAATCACAGTCAATGTCATGAAACAAAATGTGTATGAACTGCTGTATGGAAAATGAATTTACTCTGTAAACTTTCAGCAAATCACAATAAAAATTTATTTAAAAAAAAAAAAAAGAAACATTAGAAGGAAGGTATCAAGCTGGAGGGAGCTCTGGTGGCACAGTGCCTAAGGCATTTGCTAACCAGAAGGCCAGCCACTCCTTGGGAGGAAGGTTGGGCAATCTACTTCCACAGAGATACCACAATACCACCTTGGAAACCCAAGGAGGGGTTGCTACGAGTCAGGATTAACTCGATAGCAATGAGTTGTTTTTTTTTTTTTTTTTAAATCAAGCTGGAGGGGGAAAAAAAAAAAAAAGAACAGCTATTCTTCAAAGCCCTACTGAAAGACCGAAAAGGCAGCACCATGAGAGTGAGAATACTTGCAGCAGCATCCCCACACACACAATGGGTTTGTACCCACTGGGTAAATAATGCCTATGAACCTATGTAAACAAATAGACAACCTGACAGAAAGTAGGAGAAATGCTGAACTAGGCTCTCTGATGACACCACACATCCAGTTTCTCTGCTACCAGGACACTCATACACCCCATGCACATCCAGCAGACAGTGCTGGCAAGGGCACGTGCCCCTCCAGGCTTCCTCAAAAAGCCTGACCCAGCAGCTCCAGATACGTGTGACCACTCCACATCCTCGTACGTGTTCTTGTATGAACAGGCTATGAAATGTCGTTTAGCTTACAGTGGAGTGTGACGCCACCCCAGCTACACAGAGCATCAGGGCAAATCTTACTAATGTGACGTTGAAGGGAAATTGCCAACTACAAAAACGCACTTGCTTCACAATTCCATTTATGTAAAATCTACAATCAGCCCTTATGAGTCCAGGGCACTGAGATTCAGGGGAGGCAGGCTGATCAGGTGCCAATTATACGTGTGTTTCTTTGCAAACATGCATCAAGCTGCGTGCATATGATACACATCCTCTCTGTATTCTGCTATTCTTCAGGAAAAAAAAAAAAATTAAGACACAAATGGATCTGGAAGATAGTTCAGACATGCCTCTTAACCCGTGTGATTTCTGGAGGCTCAGCCTGCCCACACTCTGGGGGATGGGGCCTCACAGGGTTTCCGAGGCAGTATCTCTATGGAAATAGATTGCCCAATCTTCCTTCCGAGGAGTGGGTGGTGGGTTTGAACCACCAATCTTCTGGTCAGCAGTCAAATGCCTTAGGCACTATGCTACCAGAGCTCCTGGCAGCATGGCCCTCTGCAAATTTCCCTTCCTTCTCATGGGTTCCCTGTGACAGCCTCCTATTCATTTTTCCCAAGACCTCCATGGCTTCCACAAACATCTGGGCCTTTTAAAAGGCAAACCTTCCTGACCCATTGTGAATCAGGAGCCTCTGACCAAATGGCAGATGTCTTCTTCCTGGAGGTTGTCCACAGTGCCTTCATGGGTCCAGAAGTGCCTCCCTGGACTGCACAGCCTCCCGCACAGCCTGGCCCACCCACGGCACATGGCAGCAAGAGGTCTAGGGAGGGGTTTCTTCCACCTTCCAGGTATACAGCCAAGCTCAGGCCCACTCCAGAAACAATGCTTGTGAGAGGAGGGTCTCAGGAGCAGCTGCCATAGCAATCATGCATGGTGGCTGGCTCTGCCTCCCCAGTGCAGGTCTCGGGTTGCTGAGTGCCGGGGAGCCCAGGGCAGTATAAGCCAGAGGAAGCACACATGCTGTGGCCCACAAGGCCAGACTGCTCATGTGGGTACATGGCCTCCTGCCAGTGTCTCAGTACAACCAAGGCCAGGGGTACTCCTTAGGGCCCCTGTAGAGTTGAACACTGAGGCAGGATATGGCCACCACTTACAGCGACCACACCATATAGACTGGCTGCGTGCCACGGGCAGTGAACACTCATGTGTATGTGTGCACACTGCCACAGCCCAGCTGGCCCCCGCTTGCCTCACATACACTGACCACCAACTGAGGGTATGCTTAGACAGAGAACAGATGGGTCCTCTGCTTGGGTCCTGTGATGATCTGAAGGCCTGTCCCAAGGGGCTGGGCTGGGCCTCACTACTCCCACCTGTCATTCTTGTTCCCAAACACAGACCATGTTCTCAGGCACAGGTGGCACTAAGGGCTAAAGAGAGTGGTGTCTGTGGCCCTGACCACATAGAGCCAAGCCCCACGGGTCCTGAATAAGCGGACATAGTTCTAATGGCTAGCAAGCCTCCACATTTCCTCCTTGGTAATGGCCCCCGACTCTCCTTAGGGGAGCCCCCTGCCCCCCTGGAGGCTGTCTTGCTAGAAGGTCATTCAGGAGGCACATAGGCTGTCCCAAGCACATAGTCTCCTCCAAGCAGAGACTTTTCCTACAGACACAAGTTGAGGAGGCAAAGAAAGTGGTCTGCTGGCAGGATGGGAGCACTGCTCCTGTGGGGCATGATGACCACAGAGCTAGTCAGAGATGGGTGGGACACACTGGCCACTTGCACCCTTCCCATACAACCCTGTTTAGCTTGAATTTGCCAGAGCAGGGCACAAGACTGGCAACTGGAGACCACACAAGTATGAGGAGGCAGAGTAGACTGACAGTGTCCCTTGGAGAGGGCACCTCATCAGCCCCAGCCTACCATTTGAAGGCCACTGGCCACCAGCTGTTATTCTTGCCCTGTTAGCTGCTCGCTGCCTTAGACCCTCTCCAGCATCAGAGGAATGGCCAAGGGATGGAGCAGGGTGGAGGGTGTGGGCCCAGCAGGGCCTGGGAGGTCAGACCAAAACCAGGCCTCTGCCACTCCTGACAGGCAGCAGGCCGGGGTCACCCACTGGGGCCTCTGCCCAGCACCTGTTTACGTCACACATGGTATTTTTAGCAGCCACTCTGGAGCACAGCCAGACAGCCAGACAGTCTGCCAGGCCCAGCTAGCAAACCGCCACCCCTTGAACTGAGGGTCTAGACACAACAGGAAAAGCACTGAGCCTGGGGTCTCTTATTACCCTCAGCGCTGCTACCCTGGACCACCAGCCCCTGATGCATAGGCTGCCCCAAGCAGTGGGGCTCTGGGGAGCCAGCTCTGGTTCTCTCACTCGATGTCCTCTTACATACCGCAACACGCCAGCACCACACTCAGGATGGCAGAGTCCAGAGAAGTTCTCACCCTGACAGTGCCACACTCTGAGAAGCCTCCTGGTCACCTCCTCTCCAGCTCCCACATTTTTGGAGGCAGAGCCCACAGTCCAGGGACACCTCCCTGCTGCCTCACCCTGTGTATCTACCACAGGGACACCGCAGAGTTCCAGGACTTCCATGAGGCTGCCCCTGGGGGCTTCCCAGGGCCCGCCTTCCACCTACCCTCTCCTGCCTCTCGAGTAACCTGAGGCCAGCCTAGACTGTCACTGCTGTCCCCAGAGCTTGGCATATCACCCCTCATCCCCAGGGCCCACAGTGTCATCACTGGTCATGCCCCTGTGACATCAGCTCCCCAGCCCCAGGGCTCACAGCCTTGCTCTGAAGGCCTCTCCAAGGGTGACAGGTGGGGAAGGGGCAGGGCCAGGAAGCAGGAGCACAACAAGGACAGGCAGAGGAAAGGGGATCTGGACTTGGGCCTCCCCACCCCCACCCTGGAGAGGCCTCTCTTCTCAGGAGAGACAGAACAGTGTCCTGGCTTTGGATGGTGGGAGTCCTGATCACCCTGGATGAAGTGGAGGCCCAGCTCCATTCACAGGAGGAGGGTAGGGTGCTATGGGTCCCCAGGCAGCCTGATTCAGGATAGGCCTCGCTGACAAAGGGCTCAGGCTATGGGCTGCCCTGGCCATCACTATCCTCCTTGGACTACCAGATAGGCCCTCTAGGATCAGGCCTGGGTATAGGTGAGGCTGGGCCTCAGGTCCCTAGGTGCATCCTGGATACCAGGATTGTACTCTGTACCCAGGGTGGCTGTGCCATGAACTCAGGCAGGCACCTGCCCAGAGGACCAAAGATAAGGCCCAGGAGTGGGTGGCACCCAGTCAGACCCACAGTCACAGATGTACTCTAGGGCTCCCCTGCACTTCCTAACAAGCTCCCCTTGCCCAGTCCTTCCTGGAGAGCAGGGAGCTTCTGAGCTGTCACTGTACCCTCATGCCCTGTTCTTCAAGGGCCCAGGCACAGGGGATGGTTTCTCCCTTCCTGCCATGGCAGCCTCTCCAGGCTGTTCCGGCTGGTTCACTCTGGGTTGGAGGCAGCTGTGGACAGAATCCCGGACCCTTCTGGATCTCCCTGCTTCCTCAGAAACACTAAAGCCAAAGGAAGCACAAAGCCACGCAGTGAGTCACGGCCAGTGCGCGCACAGGGGCTCGGGGGAACCACCTGCCCCTGATGTCCACGCAGCCCTGTTTCAGGTCCACAAGGAACAGAGACCAACCATTCCTGCCATCCCTCTTGTAGAGACACTTCAGACTTGGGGATGTGAGCCCTGCAAAGCACAGCGAGCTCATTCCCAGCATCACCGCAGGGGAAATGCACACACAGAGTGATCGCCTCTTCTTTGCCAGAAACACTGGACTCTGCCATCCTTCCTGGAGTTCACAGGGATGACCCAGGCTAGCATGGGAACCCCATGGAGACTGCCATTTCTGGTTTTTCAAATAGCCCTGAGACAGTCAGTACATTAGGACTCGGGTGACAAAATGGATTTAGTGAAATCCAAACTTACCTTAAAGCACACACCAGCCCCGTGTCAGCATCCCAGGTGCTTGCTTAATTGTAACTCCCTGGGTCACCAGTGTGGTCAGCTGGCCAGATTCCCAGTTGGAACCCAGCAGCCATGCTGACACAGAACACAGCAAGTCAGATGGGCCACCAGCAAGCGGGTCTGGAGGAAAATGGGTTTTAGGAGTGTTTCACCCTTCCAGCACTTGCAATCTTAACCACACAACAGGGGCTGCTCTACTGGTCCGTTTCTCTTCATGAGAAACCGTGAGCTCCTGGAGGGCAGTTGTTGTTGTTATTGTGTGCCGTCAAGTCGGACCCAACTCATAGCAACCTCTCCTTGGGTTTCCGAGGCAGTATCACTACAGAAGTAGATTGCCCAGTCTTCCTTCTGAGAAGTGGCTCGTGGGTTTGAACCGCCAGTCTTTTGGTTAGCAGTCAAGTGCCTTAGGCACAATGCTACCAGAGCTCCCCCTGGAGGGCAGAGCTGTTTCCAAATCACAGGTCAGGACAGTGTGTGAGAGGTGTTCTCTACCGTGTGAATATTTTATAGTAGAAGCTTTAAAAGGCCACAAAACTTGAAAGATGTTTAGCTAGGAAGCTAGTAAATTGCCTTCATTCAGGAGAATAAAGTTCATTTGAGTGTCATAGGAGCGGAGGGGGTTGCCCAGCCTATCCTAGTGCCAAATGATACTTTTGGAATTGACTTTGTGTGCAGCATGATCAACTGGCAAAACTCTTAAGAATCCTGGGCTTTCACCATGTGGCAGCTCTGCCTAAGATGCAGGTGGACATCCCAGAAGCCAGAGGGGTCCAGCTCACTGGGAAGAGGCCGGGAGCCTGGGAAGGCAGAGAGCACAGAGAACCCAACATGGCACAGCACCAAGAACCCTGCCAGCGACAGGCCAAAGTGATGGCTGAGCTGTCATCACCTCTAATTGTGGCCACCCAGGTGGTGGCCCTTTAGGCAGGGCCAACAACAGGACACACCCTGCAGACAGACAGTCACCACCTGTCAGCTGTGCAGCGCCGGCCTTGAGCAGAGACAGGTCGCCATTACGGCACTTGTTGCATCTGAACACACTGGAGCAACAGGGCCCCATGGAGAAGAGGGGCAGAAGCTAGGCAGTCACAGTTGTCCCAGCAGCCTGACAACCTGCTTATTTTCCCAATTGGCTCTGAGCAGGGAGGGGGAGAGGCAGGTCCGCTTACCAGCACCCCGACACACATATGCACACATACTCAAAAACAAACAACGTTGGAAGAGTGAAAGCAGCAAATCCGAACACGCAGGGCACCAACCCATTCTGCTCAGTTCCACAAACCAGGCAAGTGCCCCCTTGTCTGGCTGTCCAGCCGACTGCTCCCCCACCCACCTTGAAACCAGGCACAGATGCCTGGAGACTGGGGCTTGGCCTCGGGTCGCAATGAGTTTCAGAGCAAGTCCTGAGCGATCCAACCCTGTAGCCACGGAAACGCCAAGATGCACTGTTAGCACCTGCACGTCTGCCGGGACTGCGTTGCGGCTAGACCAGCTCGTCTGTTCCTAAGGCTGCAGCTGTATACATGCCCGTTCCCAGGCCCACGCCCAATACCCCGAGCTTCCCAGGGACTGACTTTCGCCTCGTCGGGCCCCCTGGGGTCTGGTGGCCCGGCTCCTCCAGCAATTACTGTCTGCGGCGGGCAGTAGCCGAAGCAGTGGGCCGCCACCTGCCGCCCAGAGTCGCCCCGGCTCTGCAGACATCAGGCCTGCGCTGCGCCCTGGCCGGGCCTCCGGGACGCGCACCGGGCACGGGCGGCTGGCCCTGCATGGGTGAGTGGGAGGGGCCTACCCCCCTCCCCCGCCGCGGCCGGGGCTGGAGCACTCATCCCTGCTGCTGCACCCCTCTGGGCTGCCCCGCCCCTTGTTATTCCAGCCCCCTTCCTCGGAGAAGTCGTCCGGCACCCAGACCCCATGCAGACCCCTGCCTGGGCCCCAGGGCCCCACTGACCTCTCCACTTGCCCGGAAGTTTCCGTCCCGCCCGCTCGGCCCGGGGGCGCTAGGGGCCCTGAGGAGCACTGTTTGTCAGCCAGCCATTCAGTCGGTCCGTCATAAGTCTGTGCGGTGGGCAGGCTGCTGGCCCGTCGGTCCTCCGGCTGCTGAGCGGCGACCAAGCCAGGATGCCCTGCCGCAGCTGCCGACCCCACTGCGCAGCGCCCGGAGCCCACCCGGCAGAGACTGCCCCCAAGCCCCCAGCACTTCGGTTTCCTGGGGCCGCCGCGGGATCTGCTGGGAGTTGTAGTTCGCAGATTACCGTGCCAGAGCGCGGTGGGCGGACCCGGACCACAACTCCCAGGAGGCCACGCCGCAGCGGTGCCAACGCGAGCGTGCTGTAGGGGGCGCTGTGGTAGGAAGAGCGGAAGTCCGCAGCACAACGGCGGGACCTGTGTCCCTTTGCCAGTCGAATACCAAGCTTTGCTCGCAGGACCCCGCCCCTTTCCCAGGCGCGTGCCTCAGAACCTCAGAATCCCGGCCCCTCCTGGATCTCCGGTCCGGCAGGGTAGGTTACACACTAGCCCCACGTCCTTCTACCAGGGTTTTAAACAGCCTTGCAAAAAAAAAAAAAAAGCAGTGGAATTGTGCGTTTACAACGTGTACCCGTTTGGGGCCGTGAGAGGAGAAGCCTGAGATAACGGGCGGGCGCAGAGGTTGAAGAAGCTTTTTCATCCTTAAGCAAAGGAATCAGGTTCAAAGCGCAGCGGTGGCCAGGGGACACTGGTGTCGGGGGCCCGCTCCCGCAGACAAGGTCAGCCCAGAACATGGACTAGACAGAGAAACGAACTCGAGTTCATCTCGGCGACCTGGGTGCGACCCGCGGAGGCGTCGCCGAGACCCGCCCCCGCCACCGTGGATGGAGGCACCATGGCCTTGGGGATGCAGAGCGGCGGCTCAGGTCCCGGAAGACGGCGGGTCCCGGACCTAGAGCTGGGTGGGCTTAGGGAGGGCGAAGCAGAACCGGCCCCAGCGGCGCTGCGAAGCCGCAAACGCATCCGGATGAGGTTGGCAAGGCGAGGAGGGCGAGGCCTGGGCGGGACCTCAGGCGGTGCAGGAAACTGGTTGGCCAGGACCTGGGCGAGAGGCGGTGCTACCGCCAAGCTCCAGCCCCCAAGAGGAATGGGGGCGGTGCAGAAAGTGCGTCGTAGCGGGCGGGGCCCAAGAAAGTGGACCTCGCCCTGCCATACGTGGCGCTGCTGCGCGGCTCCTGAGTGTCTAGGCGCCTGTGCCTATGGTCCCGAAGACGCATTCCGTTGCCAGGGAGACAGAGGTTACCGGAAGCAAGGGCGATCGCTCGACGGGTGCCGGAATGACGCAAGGTTCAGAGGAATAGGCAGAGCTTTAGAAATGCAGAGATGAGAAATAATCGTAATCACCTGGTTCTGACTTAATTTGATTTTAAATGTACGCAGAGCTGAAGCCAACAAAAAACGGCAGTCCCCTTCCCCCAACCTTCCCTTCCCCAGAGGCCACTTTCTTCAACTCTTGTAGCTGTTTGCTCTGATAGAAGCTTCCGTATTTCTGAAAAAAATAGACTGATACATTTTGATTTCTTAATTTTAGACGTTTCTATGTACAGACGAATAAACCTGTCTTGGAAGAAGCTCAGCAAAAATGCTCTGTAGACGCAAGAATGGCCAGACTTGGTCTCATGTGCTTTGGTCATGTTGTCAGAAGGGACCAGTCCTTGGAGAAGGCCATCAGGCTTAGTGTGGTAGTTAAGGTTGTGCGTCAACTTGGCTGGACTGTGATTTTGAGTGTTGGGCAGGTGGATGCAGTTACTCTCCATGATGAGACTGGAATCAGTTCTGTGGTGGAATTTGCTGTTATGTGCCATTCAGTCATCTACAACTCATAGCAACCTTATGTACAATAGAACAAAACACTGCCTGGTCCTGTGCCAGCCTCATGATGCCTACTATACCTGAGCCCATCGTTGCAGCAACCATGTCAGTCCATCTTGTTGAGGGCCTTCCCCTCTTTTGTTGACCCTCCACTTTACCAAGCATGACATTCTCCAGAGAATGGTCCCTTCTGACAACAAGACCATAGTAGGTAAGACAAAGTCTAGCCATTCTCGCTTCCAAGGATCATTCTGGTGCACTTCTTCAGGACAGATTTGTTAGTTCTTGTAGCAGTCCACGGTACTTTCAGTATTCTTCGCCAACATCACAACTCAAAAACATCAACTTTTATTCAGTCTTCCTTATTCATTGCTGGGAACAGCTAATTAGTTGCCTTTGGAGTGTTGCCTGCTTACAGTATATATGGAAATACTTTGAGGAAAGTCTCTAGCTTTTTTGATTCATTTGGACCCTGCATTTGGTGGTTTTCAACTCAGTAGCCTGCTGTGTTGCCTGCCAATCTTGGGAATTGTTCCTTGACATGAACCAGTAGTTTGCTGTGTGCTCGTTGATCTTTGAAGCTCTGGTAGTGTAGTGCCTAAGGCATTTGACTGCAACCAGAAGGTCGGCAGTTCAAGCCCACCAGCCACTCTGCAGAAGGAAGACTGGGCAAACTACTTGCATAAAGATTGACCGCCTTGGAAACCCAACGGGGGGCACTCTGAGCCAGAATCGACTTGATGGCAGTGAGTTTGGTGTTTTTTGGTTTGTTGATCTTAGGATTGTGCCATCCTCCTTGCCAACCTTGGGTTTGTCAGCCTTAGCAGCCAGAAACTGCCTAAATTAAGAGCTCAGCTAAATTTTGGGCCCAGCTCCATTGGGCCAAAAGAGGCAAAGCTGAAGCCCAAGGCCAAGGGGCCTTCTTCGCCCAGGCCCTAGAGCTGGCACTTAAATTTGGACTTCCAGCCTTCGAAACTGTAAGAAAATAAATGCCTGTTTGTTAAAGCCATCTGTTTGTGGTATGTCTATCATACAATACTGGAGAACCAAGACACTTAATAAAGTAGACAATCAGCAAAAAAAGGGGAAGACCCTCAAAGAGATGGATTGACACAGTGGTAGTGATGATGGGTTCAAGCATAGTGAATATGGTGAGGATGACCCAGGACCGGGCAGTGTTTTGTTCTATTGTACATAAGGTCGCTAAGAGTCGGAGCCAACTCAGTGACACTTAACTAAAACATGAACTTCGTGACAAAGTCAGTGAGAACTGGGCTCTCCAAACCACTTCCAACACCCCCTCCCCTGTTGACCTGATGAGGTTGAGTGGATTCCAACTCATAGCAACCCTGTAGGACAAAGTGGAACTGTCCCATAGGGTTTCTGAGATGTAATCTTTATGGAAATAGAGCACCACATCTTTCTCCCAAAGAGCAGCTGGCAGGTTCCAACTGTCAACTTTTCAGTTAACAGCCTAGTGCTTAAATCACAGCACCACCAGCACTCCTTATCTCCCAGCCTCCCCCCAGAAAAGTTCATGTTACCTCCCTGCTGCTGTTAAATCAACTGTGAGAGTTTACATTTTCATGAGTATGTACATACTATTCAGTGCTACATATCAAAACTATGCCTTCATTCTTGTACAGTCTTTCTTTTCCAGAGTGAATTATCTTGTATTTTTTCATTGTTGTTGTTGTTGTTATGTGCCGTCGAGTCAGCCCTGACTCATAGCGACCCCTCCTTGGGTTTCCGAGGCAGTATCACTACGGAAGTAGGATTGCCCAACCTTCCTTCCGAGGAGTGGCTGGTGGGTTTGAACCGCCAGCCTTCTGGTTAGCAGTCAAGTGCCTTAGCCACTATGCTACCAGAGCTCCCGTATTTTTTCATATCAGACATATATCCTCAGAACTGTACCAATAAGCAACATCATGATAAACAGAAAATACTGAGTTGTCAAAGATTTTATTTTCCTTGGATCCACAATCAACACCCATGGAAGCAGCAGTCAGAACTCAAATGATGTATTGCATTGGGCAACTCTGCTGCAAAAGACCTCTTTATAAAGTGTTAAAAAGCAAAGATGTCACTTTGAGAATTAAGATGCATTTGACCCAAACCATGGTCTTTTCAGTTGCCTCATATGCATGTGAAAGTTGGACAATGAAAAAGAAAGATCTAATATCAAAGAAGAATTGATGCATTGAATTATGATGTTGGTGAAGAATTTTGATTATACTATGAACTACCTGAAGAACAAACAAATCTGTTTTGAAAGAAGTATGCTCCTTAGAAGTGAGGATGACAAAACTTTGTCTTACTTACCTTGGACATCCCATCAAAAGGGACCAGTCCCTACAGAAAATATTATGCAGGTGAGGTAGTTAAGTTGTGTGTCAACTTGGCTGAGCCTGGTTTAAGTGGCTGAGCAGCTGCATGTAGTTATTCCCCATGATAAGACTGGTAATCATCTCCATGGTGGAATCTACTGGAGCAGCTGAGTAGCTGCCTTAGGGATGTGGTCTGCTTCCTGTATATAAGAAGCATGGAGAAAGGTCTCAGAGCTTCTTGGCGTGCTTGAACACTGCATGTAGCCAAGTGTCATGGTTACTTAGTACTTCTCTGACAAGACTATATCACAGATGGGATGGCCTTAATAAACAGGAGTCTATTCTTACAATTTGGAGGCTTTAAGTCCAAGTTCAAAGTGCCAGGCTCCAGGGGCTGTGTGAAAGCCCCTCGACCTTGGGCTTCAGCTCTGCCTCTTGCTCCCGGCCCAGTGAAGCTAGAGGCATCTCTTCACTCAGGCAGCTACTGGCTGCTGAGGCTAACAAGCCCAAGGTCAACAAATAAAATGGCACAGTCCAAATATTACCAAACCACACAGCAGGCCATTAAGTCAAGTCCGTTGTAAGTCCCAAGGTCGGCAAAGCATGGCAGGCTGCTCAGCAACAACATGGCTACATGTAGGGTCCAAGTGTGCCATAAGCTAGAGACCATTCCCTAAGGCTTCTGCTTATATACAGGAAGCAGGCCACATTCCCTAAGGCAGCTACTCAGCTGCTCACAGTAGATTCCACCATGGAGTTGATTACCAGTCTCATCATGCGGAATACTACAACCAGCTGGCCAGCCATTCAACCAGGCCCAGCCAAGTTGACACACAAAGAAACTAAGGGTGGTGACTTGAATCACACCCTCCAGCAAGGCAGGACTCAAGATACATTCCATCCTAAATAGGCATAGAGACTAGGATTTACAATGCATCACAAAAGGAGGACTATAGCTGGAAGGGCCATATTAAGCAACTCACTGGTTTGCAAAACCATTCCCTGGACAAGGAAATCATGTTGGTAAAGCAGGCCCTTAATGAGAAGGATTGACACAGTGGCTGCAACAAGGGGCTCAAACATAGCAAGGATTGTGAGGATAACACTGGAGAGGGCGGCGTTCCATTCTGTTGTACATAGAGTCACTATGAGTCAGAGCTGACTTCACAGCACCTAACAACAACAACAACAACAACACTTTTTAACTAATTCATGGCAATTTTTTTTTCCTGTGCTCCGACATCTTTACCACATGCCTATCAATAATATTCTGCAAAAAGCTCAAATACATCAGTTCTATTTAATTACTGGAGACCTCTCTCCCAGGACTTTCTGTCCTCCTGCTTCAATCTGAACTGATGGCTTTCTAACTTACTGCACACCTGTTATCCTGAGCTTGCCTTGTGCTGGCATACTTGTGATTCCTTTTGCCTTTCTTTTGTGTTGGATTCCCTGTTTCCTGGGATATGTGTCATCTTCTTTTTTGGTTTATTCTCTTATTTTGCTGAATTAAGACCTCTAGTAGCTGCATCTATAGTGCATGATCATTTTCCCTTGTTACCCTCCCGAGAGGGACCGGGTCTCCGGGAGCAAGGTAAGCACGGGCAGGCTTGTGCTTACTCACTGATCTGCACTGACCACTTTCCCTTGTTACCCTCCCAAGAGGGACTGGGTCTCCGGGAGCAAGGGACCGGGTCTCCGGGAGCAAGGTAAGCACGGGCGGGCTTGTGCTTAGTCACCGGGAGCAAGGTAAGCACGGGCGGGCTTGTGCTTACTCACTGATCTGCACTGAACACTTTCCCTTGTTACCCTCCCGAGAGGGACCGGGTCTCCGGGAGCAAGGTAAGCACGGGTGT